CTATCAAATTTATGAGAAATTTTTTTTATCATTTATCTTCCAATTTAATATTGATTTTAGTCATAATATAAGTTGGGGTATAATCTTATATGTTATGCTGAAGCTAGACCCTAATTTAGAGAAAAAGAATAATAAATGAGTTTAATGTTATCTAACTTAAGAAAAAAAAAGGATAACTAAACCATAAAGTATGCATAATATTTAATGGATTTAAGAATCACTCCCTCACAAATCATAAATCAATAAAACATAATTGGAAAAATAGCCCATCGAAAAAATAGCAATCTCAAAAAATAAGATTTATTTGGATAGAAATTATATACTTCAAAGTTAAATAGATTTCAATGCAATGCAATGAAAAAAGAATGGAAAAATAGACAACAAAAAATAAGATTTAATTGTATAGAAATTACATATTTATTTCTCTTATTTCTTAGAATTCTTTTTAAACCCAACTTATACACCATACATAAGACACTTTTTTTTCATTGGATAAAGTTTCACTCCACTGTATACAAACTAGAAGGCAAGTACCGTACCTTTTTATAGTGGATTCAACCAATGCTTCTTCCACTCTTCCTAAATGGGGGGCAAAAAAAATATTTTTTTATGGAAGTCAAAATTCATAATTTTTTCTCCTTTTTTTTTTTTGTGGATATTTGCCCACTCTGGGCTATAGGGATCCGCCCATGGGCAGCACTCTTCTCACCATTGACGGTTCATAAATAAATGACTTTGAATTCTATCTTTGACAAGGTGCACATCGATGGCCTCAGTTGCAGCCAATGTACCTCCATTTAAGCAAAAAAATCTCAAGAATCTTTATTGTGAACATTACAAGCCATCATTTTATAATCTATTTATGGAGATATGCTCTTACTAAAAAGAAGAATTTATCCATGAAAAAATGGTGGGCCACTACCATCAATTTATATTATTGGAAACTATATATAGCCCTTCAAAAAAAAAAAAAAAATTAAAATAGATTTTTCAAATTATGAAGTTCACAGAAATTCTCTACGAGAACCTACGAGCAGCCCACATCCATAGGATTTATTCCAAAACATTCATTTATTGCACAACCATCGCCTACAAAACTCAGGATGCAACCTGCATTTGTCATATAAAATATATATATATTGTAACTTCTGATGTTATTGTAGTCATCTCTCTCAAGACCGGCATGTTTTTGTTCATAAGAATTGCACCACAACTATCCCTTGCAAGACCTTCATCACGGCCATCTTCCACAAAAAATAGGCCTTAGTAAGTACACCATACAACATCGGTGTGACAAAAGCTCATCCTTTTTCATGCAGTGACAAAAAAAATGGCTTTCGCATCACTTTTGAAGGGTTTTACCAGCGGTTTTAACCGCCACTAAAAATCTTGCAGCGGTTCCAAAGTCGCTACAAGACCGCTGAGATTGATGTGCGCTACAACATCACTATGGTGTTGAAGGCTTTCTTTGACCACACCTGGAAAGGTAATTCTTTGGATTTTTTTTATTTATTTATTTTTATTTTTATGCAGTACAAAAAATTGTTCAACATATATAGCAAGACCTAGATTTTCTCTCATCAGGTTTTCCATTTAAAATTGTTTCTATCTACATCATCTTAATTTTCTCTAATTATAGATGTATATCATAGAAAAAAATACAATGGAGATCAATCCTCATTCAATCTCAACTATTTTCTGTCACACAATAATTTAGATGTCTGTTATACATAGAAATCATACACAACAAATAAATTTCCCCACAGTTGGTAATTTTATCTGTTTAGGTGTATACTAGCAAAAATATCAAAAGTTGCACTAAAATGGACTTACCAAGACTTTTCCAAATGGAAGCAACAAAGAGGCAAATGAAAGCAATGGGAAGAACTTTATTTGTTTGTTTCTAAAAAATAAATCTTTTTTATAAGGTAAACCAAAATGATGGTCCACCATGCACAGTATAGAAGGATGAGTTTGTAGGACTCCACATTCTAAGAATATTTTTCTTTGATAAGATTAATTATTCTTGCTTTCAACTTGTATAGTTGAAGTAATTTGAAGATTCCGTTTTATCTTTTTTTTTTTCCATGACATAAATCGTGGTTAGGATTTTATATTGTAGTGGCACTCCATTTGAAAGTTGTAACAAATTGCGATAATATTTTAAACTTTTTTTTCTTATTACTGCTGAAAACAAAACTTTGTCATATTTTAAAAAAAAAGTTATAAATAGTGTGGTTAGGAATTTTGTTTCTATTTTTCTATAAGAAAAGAATTAAATAATGAACCCATAAAAAACAAATGAAAGAGCAAGAAGTCTGGATTCTATTAAAAAAAAAGTGTAAAAAAAATTATGATATTAGTTAGAAATAAGAACAAATGATGTGTAAACCATTTACAAGGTAATTTGGAATAAATGAAAAGGAATAATAACTTTCTTTGCTCAAATACAAGTAGCATATATAAGAATTTCTTGAAATTATCTTTCAAATGGTATATTCTACTAAGGGCATCTCCAACAGAAAACCCCATTTTCCACTCTAAAATGCCATAAAACTTCAAAATGTGGTAGTTCATCTCCAATGGAACTCCATTTTTCTTTTTTCGAGCTCTTCTTTGCGAAGGTAACCAACTCTCTCTTATTTCGTGCGCTTCGTACGAAGCTAAGCATAGTGCGAAGGTAATCGCTTTTTTTACGTAAGTAAATAATCAAACACCAATGTTGGCATTGCACTGTTCACTTGTTGATTTTTTGCGTAAGATTTGGAGTTCGAATGCAGTGATTTACGGATGGCATACAATGGTATGCAGTTCAGTTGAAGTTGTTCTAATATATTATTTTGATATTGTGGATTGTGATTTAGTCAAAACACATGCTTTAGATTTGTCATATTATTTTTACCATTAACTTTTTGTTTTTTGTGGTGTAAATAATGGTTCAAGGATTAGAATGAGGCAACTCACATGTTCATCAATTTTTTTTTTATTGACTAAGTAAAAGAAATCTTAAGAAATATCAAATTAGCCCAAAGATACATAATCAATATGATCAAATACATGCTTATGTATGAACGGTAAAATTCTTTTATCCTAAAAATAAAAAATCCTAGTAATAAATAAGTATTTGATATTTCTACATTAACATATTTTTCAATTATTTGATGTAAAAATAAGCTCAATATTCTCATGTATCTTAATAGGAGAAAAGCGTGAGAATTATTCATGTTAATTTGTGAATAATTTGATCTCAAGCCAACAGAAAATTTGCTTAAAAAAGTAATATTAATGCCTTCAACTAAATTTTCAGCTTAGCTAAATTTGGTCATAGGCTATCTAGCTTTATCTTTATTTTGACTTGAGCTAGCTAAACTTTTTTATATTGACGCAAACTTCATATAAAATCAATTTGATTTGGCCTTAGTCCAATAAATAAGTATATTATATAGATGCAAGGCGATAAGATGACTGATTATTTTTTTATTTATTAACAGCTAATGACAATTGCCCACCCTAAAGCCTAGCGATGTTCCTCCCCCTGATAAGATGAACCTTTGATTGAATTATTGGATCAAATTTCAAAAGATGATGAATTTCAACTCTTTAAGCCACGTTTGAACCATTTTAATGATTTTTTTATATGTTGAGCAGTGAACACATTCTGGGAATGATGTTGATGTTCTAACTACATGCTTCAGCACAGGCGATAAGGGCCCCCACCTTCACATTAAAACAAAACGATTATTATCCACAAGCTCGTACCTGTCCCTTTCCCGTGCTGCAGTCTATTAGCGTGCTACAGATGTTGGTGCTTGGCCATTAATAGATAAAAGATATCTATATGATATGGCTAAATTTTGAGATAGATTATGGGTTTTATGATTGTAAAGATTAAAAGCATATTGCAAATATAGTTACTGTTCACCACCTCGCTTTTATTGATCACTGTTGTGTTTTTACTGCATTTTTATTATTTACCATCACAAAACTGAACAGTGTTCTATGCTTAATCTCCACTCATAATAATATCTATAAATTTGAGAAGGATTCTAACATTTTTTATTTTAACTACTTTTAAACTCTCCAAATTAACAAAAAAAGTCAATCCAACCGCAAAAGAATGAAAAAAAAAATTGTAGTGAGCTCAAAAAATTAGCATGTAAATATTTTTATAATATTATAATTATATAAAATTATATGATTTTGATTAATAAGTGATAAAAATAATAAAAAATTTTGTAATAAAATATATTTAAAAATAGTAAATTTAAGATATTATACATAATGGACAAAATAATAACTATTCAGTGGTGAAACTGAAATTCTCCTAATATGCACAGTAATTTTAATTCAAAAGATAAATTAATAAAAATATTTACAGAAAATTGAGGAAATAATAATAAAATATCTAAATAAAATGGACTTTTCAAGGCATTTCATGTCAAGGTAATTTCATGCTATATAAGAGCATTTTCTCACATTGGCATTAGGGTAATTCCTTCAAATTTTATTGTTAAAAAGCTTCATGAGAGTGTAAAAAAAAATACTTTCAGTTTTTTTTCTGTTGGATAAGCATTTCTCCTCAAATAAACTTATAAAAAAAAAATTATTGCTCCTTAACATCAACATTTATATTTTTTTCTACACCAAATAATTCTTTAATCAATAAAATATTAAGAATTATTAGTTCTTATTAAAAAAAAATTAAAAAGATATTTAGGTGTCGCAAACTTACATAACACTTACTGAAAATAAAACAGTTAAAAAATAATCTTTGGCAATTAGCGCATTTGCAACATAACATAAAAACCATTAATAAAATAAGTAGATAGAAACACTGCCCAAAAATTAGGACGAAAAATCAAAGGAGATATAATGTGTGGATTCATAATCTAACTTCATCCATCAATACAAAATTTGAGCCCATTTTAAATGATCTCCCTCATAGTTTCAGCTGAAGTAATGCTTCAAATTACTCCCTTTAGTCCTCAGATCATACAAAATTGATCAAAAATAGCAAAACTTTCTTCAAATCATAAAATGAATTGTTTACAAAGAACAAAAGGTACAATATCTAAATTTTACATGGCTCCCGATCAGATTATGAGAAAACAAAAATAGCATGAGGTAACTGCTGATCATACAAAATAATGACTTACATCCCTAACTTAGGCTTCATTTTGGACGACTTTCTTATTATTTCTTAAAACAGCTTTTATAATAAAAAGCTGATTTAAAAAGCAATAAGAAAGCCGCCCCAAACGAAGTCTTAATCTTTTTCACCTTCACAAATTTATATTAAATAAAACAATTAGACAAAATATGGTTTAAAATAAAAAATTCAGCCATACGCAAAACTTCCTTCAAATGCTGGCTACTGAGCTGTGCTCCATGGATTCTAAATCCAGCTCTTCATCAGAGTCGATTACTTCTTTAAAATCATAATAAGCATTCACCTGCATGAGAACAGTTGCTTAGCCTACATGATGAACAAAAAAGACAAACAGAGCAGCTGCACGAAAAGCATTATGTAGGAAACGGTAGAGCACCTCAGGCCTTGGTCTGGCAGCTTCAAAGGTATGGAACTCGGGAGTCGCAAAATCTGGCGGTTGCAATACAATATATGCACCACGATTGTTGTATCGCGCATCAGTAGCCTGCAATGAAGATGAAGTACAAGTATGATTCTAGATAGTAAACACAAATTCCAAATATTAATTATAAGATCTCAAGATCATAATAGAGGCAATCTAACAATTGCTCCAAGCCAGACCTCTAACCATTACTTTATGATCTCGTTGTCTACAATCATTGGGCATCTATAATGCACGGACACGGCGACACGGATATGACACGGACACGGGACACATCAATTATTGAAAATTTAGGACACGGACACGAGTTGGACACGGTATTATAATTTTTTTATTTTAAAAAAAAGTATATAAAAATTAAATAAGTATAATTTTAAAAATAATTTGGAAATAATAAGTCATTTAACTAGAGCTTGTGCTTAAAATGATTAGTATTAGGATGTCGAGAGTCAGACGTCGATGCCGTTTATCAGTCACCGAGAGAGGAGATGAAAATACCTTCACTGCCAAAGAGAAATAAAAATGAGAATATTTGATGAATGAATATTAAGTGAAGACGTTGATTTTGTGTTGTGGATAAGAAATAAGAAATTTAATTTAAATCACGACATCCTGCCAAATACAAGAAATTATATTTTAAAAAATCATAAAATATTTAAGATAAGTGTGTCGGGCATACGTGTCCAATTTTAATTTAAATTTTTTAATCAGACACGTTTTCGGCGTGTCCGACACGCGTCGGAGTGTCGGATGAGTGTCGTGTCAGATATGTGTCAGACACTGCACGCCTCTTTGAGGAGAAGCGTCGGTGCATCATAGTTGGGCATGTAATTCTGAAATGTCTGCATCACAAACACTTTTTCCTCCTTTGGCTCTTCCATCTTTTTTTATCTCTAGCTTCCACCATTTTCACCACCTCTTATGACTCGCCACCTCTACTGTAATTGTAGAATAATAATGGTTGCCTTCCATACACCTGAAATAAATGAGCCGACCAGATTTGCGGCCTTCCACAATCAATTAGTTGCAAGGTCTACAACCTTCTTTCTTGTGAAACTTTCAAGACTTCTTGCAGGGCTTGATGTATTCTTTCGTTTGAGTTACAAAATGCGGATATGCTGCTGCTTATTGATCTGTCTTGTAGCTTCTCTACTATCATATTTATCTATTTTGTACTTTTTTTTTTTTTTGGTTAAAAGTTGAATAGGGAATTCTTCTAATGGTCTTTATAATTATAAATAGGATTCTGACCGCTATTCAAAACTTTATCTATTATTCTGAATAAAATTCTAGCTGGATATATAATTCATTCTACAACCAGGAGTCAAATCTTTAATCAAATGAGAACATGAAAAATTCTAGGAAATGTCTTCTTGTGCAAGTTTTGCATTTGTAAATAATTTATTTCAATTTTAATATACTCAGGAATTTTTTGTATGATTTTTAATTAGTTTTATACTATTTCATAATTCTAAATTTCTAAACATTGTTTCCTAACATATGCACTGATTCTCTCATTTTCTATTTCATTTTGAAGTAATGAATAATTAATGAAATTATGAGTTTGTGCTGTGAATTATGTATTGCATGATTGTGATCTCATGCTAAATTTGTATTAAAAAACCCTAGACCTTAAGACATTTTGAATTCAATTTGATATCAAAGCTTAGGGTCATAATATATATATAGACTTTTATAGGATATAATATATAATATATGGGTTAATTAATATAATAATATTTACATTATATCATTTAATTATAATTCTAGACAATTCCAATATAACTGTTATGAGATTAAACATTATATTCCTCCATTCAAAGGCAAACATAATATTAATGAATCTAACATTGTTGTTGTTGAGTCCGAGGCACTAGATGAGAAAAATAGAGGGTTGTATTAGGAAGCCAACAACCAAAACAGAACATGTCAAACAATCATTATATAAAATATTTAATATATTATGTAAATACTAGGGAATTCCCCAAAAGTGACATGTTGTATAGCCAAAAAGTAGAGTGGTAGAAGATTTTAACAATATTCATGGTGGCTATAGATTTGGTGTGACTGAACAAAGTGGTAGGACCATGTAGATTTTGTTTTAGCTTATAATTTTGTAATAGCTAATACTTTATTTAGGAAATAAGAGGAGAATGGAAACAATGAAATTTAGATTGATTATTTTAATATGCAAAAAAATAGATCATTTATAATGGAAAGATTATAAAGCAATTCCAAGTGAAATTTATGTATTTAGCATGCTAATTAATTTTGGAATTTAAGATGAAAGGGTGAAAAATAAAAAGTGAAGTAAAATATTATTCTAGGATTAGATGGATAAATTTAAATAACGTTTATGAAAATATTTTTTAAATAAAATTCAAGATCTTTAGATTTGGATTATTCATGAGGAAGCTAATGTTATTTAAAAAAAAAATAACTAGTGATATTATGATTGTTACTTGGAGAATAAAAAAAATATCGTAATAGTAAATTCAATTAGAGGTTAAATCCAAATGTGTAAGAAAAGAGAAAAAAAAAAAAGAAGTTTTGCTTCAAAAATTGATTTAAACGAAAAAAGTTAGAAAAATTAGAACAGAATTAGAGGGGCCAGTAGGCCCGTAGGGATTGTAAGAAAATATGTGAAACAAAAAATATTAGCTTTTAGAGCTTTATACAATATATTAAATTCTAAGGAGAGGCGAAAGATGTATGTATAAATTAGCCAAGCAAAGAGAAACAAAAAAAGCAAAGATTTAGAAAAGGTGAATTATATCAAAGATGAAAATTAAAAATGATTTTCTTAAAAGAGGATATTCAACATTGGCAGATGAGATATTTCAACAAATTTTTTAAAGAATGTTACAATAATATGATTGACTTTAATGACATTATCATCCTACATGAAAAAATAAAAATTTATTTTGATGTAGTATTAATAAAATCAAAGTTAGAGAGACTTAAATAAAATAGAGTGAAATGGCAGTAGTATCTAATATCGTGAAAATTTTTAGGAGATCAAGGATTTTTTTAGCTTATTAAACTTTTCAATATTATTTTGAAAACTAAAATGATGCAAAATTAGTGGAGTGTGTTGGCTCATATTTTTATGAATAAAGGCAATGAACAAGAGTATGCGAATTATAGATGAATTAAGTTAATATATCATACAATGAAACTATAGAAGAGAGAAATTGGGCATAGGTGACAATGTGATCCTAATGTTTCTCAAAATCAGTTTAGATTCATGCCGCGTATGTCTACCTATGATGCATAAATACGGGCATGGCAACTCTTAATTTTTTAAAATATAGAATGTAGATACAGTTTAGAGTGTCAACATCACTCGTCGATGTTGAGATGATGTTGGACAAAAAAGATGAGATGTCAAAAGGGCATGAAGGCATGACTATGGATGCAGAAATTGTTAGCATCGAGCATTAATATCAACGCAAAAATTGGTGTAGAGAAGATATTGAAATGTTAATGTTGGATGGCATCCAAATTGATGTTTATATGACATTAGCCATTATTGTGAAATTCTAGTCATGACTAGTCAAAGAGAAATGAAAATGAAATTGCTTATGGAATGGGGATATTAAGTCCAGGCAATTGATTTAGGGGTCTATAGAGGATATAAGAAAAATATTTTTTATTTAAAAAAAAATAAAAAATTGAAATACAAAAAAATATATTTAAAAAAAATCATAAAATATTTAAGACACATATCCAATTTATTTTTGATATATTTTTGATCAAACACGTCTTCGGCATGTTCAACACTTATCGGAGGTGTGTTGGATGAGTGTCGTTTCCAATATATGTCGGACACTACATACCTCTTTGAAGAGAAGTGATGATGCATCATAGAGTTGATAGGAAGTGCTTGTTAAAATTTTATCTCCCTTGGCTGAAATTAAATTACAGCAATCCCAAACACAATCTCCAAGAGGAATTAAGAGCAATAATAAGAGAGAACCCTTTTTAATTAATGATATATGGAAGAAAGTAATAAGATACAATGGAGTTTTTACTAGAGAGGAAGATCTGGCTCTCCCAAATCCCTATTCGCCGGCAAGAGCTCAAAACTCCCTACGAACAATCTAAATTCAGCAAATAATATCATAATCTTGAAATCACCTTATTATTAGCCTTAAGTAGGCTCCCCTAACTCTCTCCCATCCTAATTCCCTCCCAAATAGGTCCTCTTTGCCTAAATAATTCTCTCTCATATTTGAATTCAAATCAGATCTCTTGCCCTAAATAATTCCCTCCAAATTATAATTAAAATTTTCCTAAATAATTCCCCCTTGATTCCTCCTCCCTTTCCCTAAAAAATTTTTCCTTAGATTTTGAATTCAAATTAGATCTCTTGCCCTAAATAATTCCCTCCCAATTATAATTAAAAATTTCCTAAATAATTTTCCTTTGATTAAGAACCTTCCTAAATAGCTCCCTCTTGATTAGGAAACCTTCTAATTCCTTCCCAATCAAATATGTTGATCCATTAGAGATCTACTATAGAAGTTATACATTTGTTGAGCGACTTGATGGAGAAATATAGAAAGAGTAAGGAGAATATACATATGATATTTATTGATTTAGAGAGAGCATATGATAAAGTTTCAAGAGAAGTGCAGAAGTGCTCTAAAGAATTCTTGAAAAGAAAGGAGTGAATAATGCTTATATTCAAGTCATCAATGTTATACATATAGGAGCTATTACGTGTGCTCAAACACAAGATGTAACCAAGTATTTTTCACATTTCAGTTGAATTACATTAAGGATTAATTTTAAGCCTACATCTTTTTGCTTTAATTACGGGTGTTCTTACTAGACATCTACAAAAGGATGGACCTTGGTTTGTGCTTTTTGTTGATGATATTATTCTTGTTGATAAGCTATGTTACACCGATACACCCATTTATGAAGGCGTGTTGTATCTGATACACGGATACGCCTCCAATATGACACTGATATGTGTCGGATACGACATTGCCGTATCCAATTAAAATACTATTTAATTTCAAAAGGACACGCATATCCGATACATCTGTCTGTTG